ATACAATTTTTCTTACCTTTTTCCAACTGGTGGTCCAAATATACCTTTTCGCCTCTTGTCCAATTTTGACATGATGATATCCTAGTGATGTTGGATCAATAAGAAATGATTGCTCACCATTTATGTGTAAGAAAAACAATAACTGGATTTGGTCTTTGCATGATGGTTGGATTTATCAAGGCTGAGGTTTTTATTTGTGATAGCTACAACCATTGTCACTTGAAAACCAAATTAAAAAATTGGTGGTTGAACTTATTCCAAAATAGTGACAACCTGATTACTTTTTTGTGTTGATGTCAACAAGCCTCTTTGCCCTGATCACCCTTACAAATTTCAAATGAATTTCCAGTTGGATACAAGACGATATACATGGGTTGATTAGGGAAAAAATGTTGCACTCTTTGCCACTATTTTGGAAAGGAGATGTACCCTGTGTAATCACAAGCTTGACCTGGTCCAATTAATGCAATTGCAAAAGTTCAACCTTGAAGCAGAGGTGGCAGAACATTTTGAGATGTGGGGGGCTTAATTTTCACCTACCCATGCACATACTCCTATTTAAATTTTCCAAAACGCCCTTCACATCATTCTTGCAAACCTCTTTGCATTCTTTACAGTTTTGAGTGTGTCGGTAATTACTTTGCGACCTACTTTCATGGATGAAAGAACAAATTACTCACCTGAGTTTGATTAGCACTTGTCTGGGCAGAGAAATTTACAAAGGCAGGAATAAACACATCCCTATTGATGCCATTCATGAGTTTGTCCTTGATATAAACTGACTTTCCAGTTCCGGTTGGACCAACAAAAAGGAGGGGTTTATTGTTGTTAAACATGATTTCCATTAGGTATGAATAGCGTGCTGTGTCCATAGTAGGGACAATGATGTCACTTATCTGCTGTCCCTTCCCACCTGCCACACCTTCCTTGATGGTTTTTGTCCATGGAATCCAGTTTCCTCGACCCTTTCTCTAGATAACATAAACAAAACCAGTTTTCATGTTTAATTAATCTCCATAACTCAAAAAATTAAAATGAAGATTAATCATGGAGACCTGGGTTTCTGGAAATATTCAATGTTTCAGTGACATAGGCCTCAACTGATCCCAGCAGCCAAAAGGAAATGTATCAAATTCACACTAGGCTCTGTTATGTGATCTGGTGACCAGTCTGTGCAAAAAAGTTAAAAACTTAGGTACGTATATCTGAAAATATAAAGAATCTATGGACATTCCCAAAAAATTGAGCAAGGACTAACAACATCATGGTGCGACCGCCATGTTTCAGTAGAATAATTTCAATGTTTCCAGTGACAAGAGCAAAAACACACAAAAGTTTGCGTATTTAATTGGGTAAGAACCAAATTTTTAACTTGAAAAATTTCTCCCATAAAATAATTTGATGGAACCTTTAACTACTTTTTCTTAAATACACTCATCCAAGGGAGTGTAAAGGCAAAATTAAAAAGAGATTCAGTTTTTTGTGAGTGTCCATGGATTCAATTCTTGATATTCTCAGAAATACCCTCTTAGGATGGAAAGACCTTCAAACCTGGCTTGACACCAACTAGCATGAACAGAAAGACAGTTAGCAGACACCTAATAACATAACATTTGGACAAACACATTAAACCTGTGAAAAATCTATTGGACGGTCATTACTGAAATACAGTAGGGGTAGAAAGGTGGCAAAAAACATTACAACTCCAGAATTCATAACTGCGAAATCTAAGTTGATGCATATTCCATATCTATAGATTGTATTTGTTCAAATAGCCTTATTCATTTGGCAGAAAGTGTTTATGGCAATGCTGCACTAAATTATTCACGGTCACTGTTTAAATTATTCAAGATTTTCATAATCCAAAGATGGAATAAAGTTAAAGGAGGTCCTTACTTTGGCAAACAACAGAGAGGTGATTTATATGTGTATTTAAAACTGTGCTGTTATACAAAGTTTTCCTGAGTTTTCTTTCGAGCTTTTAAGCTTTTTCAACTTAAACCACACTTTTTGAAAGAAAAGGGCCCTCTGACCTTCCGGCAAGCTGAAAAGTCAAAAGAGCCACTGACTTTAAAGGCTACAATGTATGTCCTCTCACCTCAAACAAGTAGTCATAAACTAATCCTTCATTTGGAATTGGTGACTCAATCTTGCCTACTATAGAAGGGATAGGACATTCTTCATTCTTGCCTGCCATCAGGTCTTTGAAGAATACATCAAATTTTGCTCGACTGTCTGTATCAACACAAGCCCCAACTGACCACACCATGGAGAACAAGAAAGAAGACTGAAAAAGATTATAACACACACCCTTCACTTTTTTACTTCCACTGATTAACAGTTATTTACAAAACGTGTTTGGCCTGGAGATGTGAAGGGATGAAATGCCCCAATTTAGTAAGAAAATAAAAAGAAGTCAAATAAAAAGGCTATGAAAAATATACAAAATAGTTAATTCTGTTATGGAGTTCAGTGTATTTAATCACAAACACTAAATGAATATTGTTGGATA